TATCTTGAGGTAGTAAAGTTTGGACCATTTGTATCTTGAATGGAAACATTTTCAAGTCCAGTTTCAGAATCTTCTGAAGCGATGTTCAGGTGATGCCTAGCTGTATATAACATTGACCGTAAAACTACTGATTAAACCTGCGTTAGTCAAAGGAGGCATTTTATTACTCGTAATTCCTAGCAGATTGTTTATTTTGATCCCTGCAACTGGTTTATGTGCCATACGTGATACACACTTAGGCGATCATGTATCTTTCGATATATGACTGACGAAGCAGAATTTTTCCCGCAGTAGGTTGTCATTTCTCTCTGCGGTAGACCAGTTGCCATCCAAGGCTATTCTTCTCTCTCCTGCTATTTACCCATAGCTGGTAGGAGAGGTTTGGGGAGAAGAATAGCATTCATACCTTTACGAAGGATATTAGCACGTGAAGTCTATAGAACCCAGTCTGTTCTGCTATTTACCCATAACTTGGGGGTGGGGAGAAGAAGAGGATTCATACCTTTACGAAGGATATTAGCACGTGAAGTTTATAGAACACGGTCTGTTCTGCTATTTACCCATAACTTGGGGGTGGGGAGAAGAAGAGGATTCATACCTTTCCCAAGGGTATTACCACGTAAGTGAATGTAATGGATTCGAGTGGAATTCGAACCCCAAGCAAGGCAGGAGTACCACCCATACGCAAGGGACTACAGAGAATGTAAGGAAGTGTTGAGATGTTGAGTGTTTCCGCGTGCGTGTATTGAAATAAGGACAAACACATACGTAGGGAAAAATACTGGTATATTTGAAGAGGTATTTACAACAGAGATTAGTAGTCAAACGAACGCAGGTTAGTCAGTAACAATCAGAAAGAGTATAAAGTCCAACTGTATCTTCCGGTAGAGAGACGGAAGTGTGATGGTCACCTGATCTTCCCAGAACTCTATAGAACTGTCCTATTAGTAGTAGAGAGATCAGTCCATTCTTATGAGAAGGTGGGTGGCCCAAACAGGAAGGGTATAGGTGTTGTTGAGGAAAGGATAAAAAGAAGAACGGGGATCAATACAGAAAATGATGTCGATTGGCATTACATTTAAATTTTAGATGATTGTAGTGATGAGGAAAGCAAGTAAGAGGAAGGGAGTTCCACTGTCGGGAAGTGCAAGATAAGAAGCTGTTGGAGTAGAAGAAGCGGCTACATTTAACTGTTTATATATAAATATATTGAAAAAAAAATACCGGCAATCAAAATTTTATATGTATTAATCTTATAGACACATATATATTTCTTCAGTCGTGAACACATTCCTTTGAGGTCAGTCAGTTATATAGCATATGTGATACACGCTTAGGCGATCATGTATCTTTCAATACATGACTGACGAGGCAGAATTCTTTCCGCAGCAGGTTGCCATTCTTTCTGCGGTAGACCAGTTACCATCCAAGGCTATAGGACCCGTCCTGTACTACTATTTACCCATAGCTTGGGGGGAGATGAAAAGTGTATTAGCACGTAAGTGAATGTGATTGATTTGCCTGTGATTCGAACTCGGCCTGATTCAGAGATGGTGTGTAGCAGTTGTGGCTCAGTTGCCGAGGGAGACGGACATTACATTGTCTTACCTGACTTAGGAAGATAAGGATTCATGATTTTAATTTCACGCGCGCGCACACAAACACACACACACACACACACACACACACACACACACACACACACACACACACACACACACACACACACACACATACATACATACATACATATATGTATTATTATGAAAAGGACAAAGTCCGACAATTATTTCTAAGACATTTTTTATGTTTATACGTTCTTTTTATAGATACAAATATTTAAGTAAATGCTCTGTTTATGCCAAACTGTATTAGCGGCGTTTACTGGCTTTTGGCTCAATCGGTAAAATCACGTCAATCGGTAAAATGACAGTTCCGTATAGGATACAGGTTCGATTCCTTTCGGAGGACGCATATTTTCTGTGAAAATTTCTCAGACATTCAGGTCGTTAATACTGTTTATTATAAACAGAGCATTTTCTTAAATATTTGTACTTATAAAACGAACATATAAATACAAAAAATGTCTCAAAAATACACATTATTACTCTTTCATTCCTGTAATTATGAATTTAGTTAATGTTATGTCTTTTTACATAGTGGCTATTTTTTTTATGAATAAAACTTTTCTCTGTTATTGTATTCGTGTGTTTCACCTCCAATTTACAGCATATCCTTATGCAAGAAATTTATTATAATTTTCATTTCAATGAATAATTATATTTTTAGTTCATGTTTTAATTTAATGTATTTTGTAACGGAGTTTCGCTGTTATGTTTGTTTTCAGCGGTACGAGAATATTTTACACCATTGTAACACTATAAGTATTTTTATCGGGGTGTATATACACCCCAGGAGACTTTCCATTTTCGGAAATCCGAGGAGGCTAATACAGGGTTAGAGGTATAGAAAAAAGAAAGTAGAAATGAATGAAAAAAAAAAAAGAAGAAAATGAAAGAAAGAATGAATAATGAGAAAAGAGAAAAATGAAAGAAAGAACGAATGAATGAAAAAAGAAATTTGAAAGAAAGAGCGAATGAAAGAAAAAATGAAAGAAAGAATGAACGAATGAAAAGTGAAAGAATAAACGACTGAAAAAAAAGATAATAGAAAGAACGAATGAATGAAAAAAGAAATTTGAAAGAAAAAACGAATGAATGAAAAAAGAAATTTGAAAGAAAAAACGAATGAATGAAAAAAGAAATTTGAAAGAAAAAACGAATGAATGAAAAAAGAAATTTGAAAGAAAAAACGAATGAATGAAAAAAGAAATTTGAAAGAAAGAACGAATGAATGAAAAAAGAAATTTGAAAGAAAAAACGAATGAATGAAAAAAGAAATTTGAAAGAAAGAATGAATGAATGAAAAAAGAAATTTGAAAGAAAAACGAATGAATGAAAAAAAAGAAATTTGAAAAGAAAGAATGAATGAATGAAAAAGAAATTTGAAAGAAAACGAATGAATGAAAAAAGAAATTTGAAAGAAAGAACGAATGAATGAAAAAAAAAATTTGAAAAAAAAAAATGAATGAAAAAAGAAATTTGAAAGAAAGAATGAATGAATGAAAAAAGAAATTTGAAAGAAAAAACGAATGAATGAAAAAAGAAATTTGAAAGAAAGAACGAATGAATGAAAAAAGAAATTTGAAAGAAAAAACGAATGAATGAAAAAAGAAATTTGAAAGAAAGAATGAATGAATGAAAAAAATGAATGAAAGAATGAGCGAAGGAAAAAGAAAATAGAAAGAAAGAGTGAACGAATGAAAAAAGAAAAATTAAAGTTAGAACGAATGAATGAAAAATGGAAAAAAGAACGTATGAAAAAAAAACGAACGAATAAAAAAATGAAAGAATGAATGAAATTAAAATGTAAGCAAGAAGGTGAAAGAAAAAAAAACAAGCTGAACGAAAAAGAGAAAGAAAAACACAGAGAGAGGAAGGGAGATAGAGTAGAAAGAGAGAGAGAGAGAGGGAGATGAAGAGATGTAATGCTGTCAATAAGAAATGGGTAAATATGTTTTTCACGTTTGAATACCTGAGTGAAGCCTGTGAAAATACAAATTGGTCTTATTTTTGGACGATGAGCCTAGTCGATGAGACTGCTTACAAAGAATCTGCCGCTATCGATGGAAATATAAAAGTGAGGGGAGAAGGCGGCTGTATAGAGAGAATGGTTGCGCAAAGGTCACAGACGCAAAGCTGCAAAGCGGAATTGCTTTTCCAATAACGGTAAGTATAAAAACAGACTCACCTTGTCTGCCTTACCACTAGAATGGCCAAGACTAAACGTCAGGTGAGCAACACTCTACCTCTTCTAGGGCTAACTTTTTACCACTGAAATGAAGCGACTATATCAAATCAATTGCTCCGTTTACCTTAAAGGCAAGTCGGCTGACTGGGTCGTAACGGAAAATATTTCTCTTCATAATGCATCTTGCACATTTCTAAATCTACCATTCGTCCTCCCACCATATCTGCTGTACATCACGAAATTCTTGACAAAATCCAAAGAAGGATCTGTAATGTAATCGATCCTGACCTGGCGTCTTTCTCGACGACGTGATGTAGCTTCCCTCTGTCTTTTCTACAAATATTTTTATGGTAACTGTTCTGATGAGTTTTTTTTTTTTTTTTTTTTTTTTTAACTCTGGGGCTCCGACTACATGCATTTAAGCGTGCTACTAGATTGGCAATTAGGTCTTACCGTTCTACTGTTGAACTAGCTAGATGCAACCAACTCTTCTATTCTAACAGTGTATTTATTAGCACTTATGACCTTATTCCTTCCGATTTCTTGCTTCCCAGATAATTACAATCTTCAAAAATTTAAATACAGCGTCAATCGCCATCTTCTGTCTTCTTGAATCTTTTGTCCTTTCCGCAATCTTCCTTATTTTCCGTCTTCATATTCTCTTTCATTTTCCCCTCACTGTAACCTTCTTGTTTGCATTATCGCCTTGCTTGGGATGAAACGAATAAACAAAAAAAAAAAATAAAATAAAATAAAAAAAAGAAAAAGAAATCAAGCGTTTGGAGAACGAGCGTGCTTTTACGTCAATGGAATCACTCCATCATCTTTTTTTAAATCCTGTCTTGGTAAAAATGAGCTTTTATTTAACCAAATTCTGCAGGCTTTTGTATGTTTATAGTAAGGGAAATAACGAAGAATGTAGAGTCTGACGTATTCGGAATGGCACTCTTTCTTTCATTTAATTCTTTCATAATAACTTTATGTTTGACTTTCTGGAAGTGGGGGAGCTGTCATTGTTTTTTTTTGTTGTTTTTTTTTTACATTATTTACAACTGGACGAGTATCTGCATTCTTGTTAGTATTCTCACAACGTTTCGATCGTTGTGACCTCAAGCCTTCTTCAGGTGTCTGTCGACCCGGGTAACCTGCAGAGAATTTTAAACCGAGCCCGTCATTTATCTCTCTGTCTATGGTAAAATCCAGCTGAAAACACCGGTTCACATTCAATCACCAAAGTTAAGCAGTGTCGAGCCCGATCAGTACTTAGATTGGGGACCGCTTGGGAACACCGACTACTGTA